GGAAGACCAGCTTTGTGGTCTCCTCCAGCCCCGAGGACAGCAGATGGTAAGGTGGGCCACATGCAGGAGAACTGTATTTCCTGCTGCTTGGGTATATGAGGGCTTGGTGTAATTGGGCTCATGTGCGCTGAATAAATGTGGAGTTAACTGGGCTAGGAACACAAAGGACGTTGGCTTGTTTTTCTTCTGGGGCAAGGACAATGGCCAGGGTAGTGGCTCCCATTTCAAGAGAACAATAGTTCAAGGCAGAAGCCCAACATCCTGGCTGAGACACAGACCAAAGTGCAAAAGGAGAAAGATTCCCAGTTCTGCAGATGCTGGGTAGCAAAAAACATCTGCACCTGAGACAGTTGGGGGAGGGAAGTTTGCATATTGCCCGAGGGATCAACTTAAGAGACTAGACAAAGAGAGGTTCATGAATGTGATGGGGAGACCCTGCTGGCTGACCGTAGGTGGCTCTGAGGGCGGGCTGGTATCACTTCATCTGTTCCTTTGACATTTATTGAAAATGCTCCCCCAACAGGAATTCTGGATATAGAGCAGTGTCCCGGGAGGGACCCCCGTCTGTGGAGAGACATGTGCACGCAACCCTAATCCCAAGGAGCAGGTCTAGTCCTCCGGGAGATGCAGGGAGGAGGAAGGAGAGGTCTTTTCTCATGGTGTGGAGGGGCTGGGAGGCTGTACAGAGACAGCTGTCCAGCGGGGCTTCAAGGGGTCTGGGGCTGAGGAAGGGCGTCCTAGACCCTGCACAGCTGCCCGCCCTCTAGGGCCTCATCATGCCCGCATGCAGCCATCTGTTCTAGAACCTGGCTCCAGTCTCTGCTGCCTGACCCTGGATGGATCTAAGAAAGGAGGTTAAGTGGAGGAAAAGAAGGGACCAGATTCCTGGAAGCCCTCTGGGTTTCCAGGGGCCACCCAGAAGTCGTGCTGTTTTGACCAAACTCAGCTTTCTCCATTCCAGAGATGGGAAACATTAGATAAGGGCATTTGTCACAAAGCATTAACACTTGACTGCCGAGGCAGTGCTTAGGGAGGAGGGAGTGGGGACCTTTCTGGGAGATCACAGTGTGAATTAGTGATTTTGCTCTGTGGACAGTAGATGTTGTCTGAACGTTTAAAAGCTCAAGGCAGTGCTAACATAGATGACCAGGACTTGTCTCCTATGTGCTTAGACAGAGAGGCTGGCTCTGCCCATGACATCCTCAGTTTGTCAGAGAAGCGGCCGAGGCCCCATCCAGCAGAAGATGATTTCATCATGCCTGACCGACCAGGCCCAGCTGGCCCGGGTCCCACCAGGGTGTGCTCAGGCATGAAGGAAACCAGACAGGTGGACATTTCAGCCCTCCTGGGGGTCTCCTGCAGAAGCAGATAGAGACATAAAAGTGACGTGGTCAGCAGCAGAATACTTATCCTGCTAGATGCATCTCCTGTCTTTGGTTGATGTTTTCACAAGGAGATGGACTGTGGACTCCGAGAGGCAGAGCAGTCCTCTAGCAGGGAGGAGGAGGAGGGGCAGGCTGGATGTGTAAGGAACCACCAGGACAGAGCTGCAGGCTGGTGCCTTAGCTTCAGAGAGGAGAGAAAACTTTCCCGCCTGCCCCGAAGTGCTTAAAGCCCAGCGCAGGCCCATGCCCCACTCGTTCCACGCGTGTTGCCCTCGTGGTTTCTTTGGTCACACTGGCTGCAGGATCCACGAGCGCAGGCCCACGCCCCACTCGTTCCACGCGTGTTGCCCTCGTGGTTTCTTTGATCACACTGGCTGCAGGATCCACGTCATGCCACTATCGCAGACCTTGCTTGCCGATTTGCGTTTGGCCCTGTTAATCAGAAACAACCAGCACGCTCACACCGCCAGGCTAGTTTGTGGGTGTGTACCTTGTGCAGCTGCGTGGGGCCCACATTCAGAAGGGCCTGAGTTTGGTTTAATGCTCTACTATAATCGTCTTGAAATTCTTAACACTTTCTGAGCGAGAAGCCCATGTTTTCTTCGTACACTGAGCTCAGCCAATTATGTCACCCAACCTGTATGCCAGATACACCCCTGCTCCTCAGCTTCAACTGGCAAATTCCTCACTTTTCCAATGTCAGCTTCAACATCGCTTCCACAGGAAGCTACCATCAGTTGCCCCGATTATAATACTGATCATTATAATGGTAACATGGACAACAGCAATCAAATCTTTATCATGTATCATGCACTGAGCTAGGTGGTTTATGTGGATTTTCTCATTTCATCCTCTCAACAACACTATGGGGTAGGTATTATCATTATTTCTATTTTGGAGATGAGAAAACCAACAGAAGCTTAGAGAGGCTACTAATAAATGTCCAGACTTACTAAGCCAGCAGTATTTTCCTCCATCACTTTTATTGCATTTCATCATAAGGTTCAATATCAGTCTTCTTCACCAGACAGCAGGTGCCATGCAGTCAATGTCTTGCTTCTTCTCTGTTGTATCTGTAGCCTCTAGCACAGTGCTAGGCTAGGTACTCTGTAGAGAGGGGAGGGAGGAAAGCTCTGTCCCTTCCTCCTGTGTGTCGGTATTTTAGAGGACATGGCACTGATGCATATCAACAGAAGAGCAGAAAATTGAAAAAACACTTTGAACAACCACAAAAATTAAAAGTATCCTCAGTCTTTTAAAAAATTGTCTTCTATTTGTTGAGTTTCTACCATTTCTACAAGCACTGGATTAGGTGTTGGGGTGTATTGGTGAGGAGAGGGCATTGACCTTTCCCCTCATGGAGTTTACAGTGTGCACAGAAACAGACATTAACCAATTCATCCACTCACACATGGCAGACCGTGTATGTGATAGTGCTACAGAGAAGAGGCATACAGTCTGGAAGAGTATATGATAGAGGGATTTGACTTGGTTGGGGAGGTCAGGAAAGGATTCCTAGGGGAAGTCAAATGAGCTGAGAACTGAAGGCGAGCAACTTAATCAGAAAGGGAGGAAGGAACATCCAACGCAGTGGGAATAGTAAGGGCACAGACTCCTGGAAGGAGGGGCATGGACACTTCCAATGGCTGAAAGGAGGTCAGTGGGTTGGGGAGGCAGTCAGACACTGCAGAACTACCTTGAGAAATTCTGCCCAGAGCCCAGGAGGCCTGAGCCTTTGACCAGCTTTCTTGATGGTTCTTGTTCATCTGCAGGGATTTGGGAGACTTGGGGGCCTGCCCACTTGTGCATTCAAGGAACACACTCATCTACCATGATGGGGATCATTTACAGTTTGAGTATTAAATGTTCCAACCAAAAGGAACAGTCTTGAGACTACTCCTGGACAAGAGGTCAGCATAGTCCTTCTGAGAGCCTGCTGGAGACAAAGGCCAAGATTCTTCTCCTGGGGACAAGGTGGGATGTCATGGGACAGAACTTTGCTGTAGGAGGGCTGCATTCCAATCCTGTCTCTTGATAAACCTGCTTTGTTTTCCTGGGCTGGTCCTCCAACCTCTCAGCCTAAATTCCTTCAACTGTAAATTGAAAGGTCTAAACTAAATAATTTCTTTCAGTTCCAGAGTTCTAGAATTTGTTGCTTTATCTCACATAGATTTGTCACCTCTCTTCCCCTGGGTAACAGAGCTGCAAAAAGGATCACTCAAAGCCCATTTCTTCTGAGCAGTGAGAGACCCCAAAGGGGTTAATTTCATGGAACCCTCAAGAGAGAGGCATTCCTTCTTTTGGGGAAATTAACCACGAACTGGGGTTCTTGCCCTGCATTTATTCTCGAGACCAGGAAGTTACAGGAAAAGAACATAGGTGGGGTTTGAGCTAAGTATAGTTTAACAAGCTTAACAATAGAAGCTGGTAACATTCAGTAAAACAAGCAAGTGACATTCCATAATGCAATTTGCAAAAGGTTAAGTTGATCCACTAACAAAAGCTTTATCTTAGCAAACATCCCTTCTCCCTACACAATTTCCCAGTATCTTTACATATCAATCAGTGACTTGTCCGTCCTTGAGCCAGCAACTTTGCTGTGCTACAACTCTTTATCTTACAACAGAGACTTTAGCCTGGGGAAAATTTCCCGTCTTTTGCAAGGTTAACATGTCTATATGTACTTTTAAGAAGTTAGGCTAAACCTGAAACTTCAGGGCTTTGGAGGCCTATGAAATATATTTGCTTTATAAATATTGCTATATTCCATAAGAATTCTTTATTCAGAACCTCTGGTTGGGAAGGGGTGACTTTTGAATCACTAAGAGATCTAATGTTTATCAAAATGGTCCAGCACTTGTCGTAATGGCTAAGAGGGAAAGGGCAATAATATACTGACATATTGCCGCCATGAACACCTGGAACGCAGGTAAAATCGTAGGCCTTTGATCTCTTTTTTTTGTATATGTTTATGGGGTACAGAGTGATATTTCAATACAGGTATACAATGTGTGATGTTCAAACTGGGGTAATTAGTATACCCATCATTGAAAACATGTATCATTTCTTTGTGTCGAAAACATTTGAACCCCTTTCTCCTAGCCATTTGAAAATATACAATAAATTATTGTAATTATAAACACCTAGCACTGCTATAGAACACAAACTAGAACTTACTCTTCCTGTCTAGCTGCCAGTTTGTATCCATTAACCAACCTCTCCCTATTTCTCCCCCCTCCCCTTCCCAGCCTGTCTACTTCTATGAGCTCCACTTAATTATCTTCCACATATGAGTGAGAACATGCAGTATTTATCTTTCTGTGCCTGACTTATTTGCATAGCAAAGGAAACAGTCAGAGAGAAGAGGTAACTTGCAGAATGGGTGGCCTTTGATCTGTACTGTGCATGCCAACAGATCTTTGCCTGTACTTCATTCCACAGTCTTTGTGTTTTTTTTTCCCTCTCATTAATAGTAGCGTCAACCATGTGGCCATTCTTACCTAAAATGGAATAAATATATTTTTCATACACCATTAGTTTCCCCTTTCAAATTTTCTTTGTATAAACTGAAGTGCTCTGTTTTAAAAAATTGTTTCCTTCCACCCACACTCACAGGTACAAAGGATTTAAAGGCAACTGTTCTATGACCTTCATCGACCAGTTTAAAACGCTACACCAGTGTAACAAGTATTGTAAAATGCTGGGGCTCAAGTCCCTTCAAAACAACAACCAGAAACAGAAGAAGCCAGGCACGGGGAAAAGCAAAGTGCAGACGAATTCCACAACAGTGAGGAAGACAGACTCTGGGACCCCAGCAGAAAAGAGAACCTAACAGCCCTCATTAACTAATGGCCACCAGCTAGCAGCACAGTCTTGTGAGTGAAAATCTGCAAACACGCAGAAGAAAATACACAGCCTGCACAGAGTGTGTGACTGTCCCTGTTCCCAGCTGACTGTGCTCCCACATGCATCTAAACCCGTCACCTGCTGTCTTTGCTGAAATGATTTCCAAACAGGATCTGTGACCAGACTTATGGAAAGACTGAATCAACTGTCCACTCTTTGTATACACGTTTAGTATTTTTACCAACCTCATGTCATGTCTGTTTCTGTATTTGCGTGTGGTTGTGTTGTCGAGAACTTGGTGCTGAGCAGGGTCTGTCCACAACCAAAATCCTTCCCACCCCATTCCTAACCTCGGGATTTCTAGACATATCCAGCTGTGATGTAAACAGAAATCATGAATTCCCCCACTGGGTTGAGCTGCACTAGTGTTGAAGAAGCTGTGGTTGCTGGAGATGGCTTCTGAAACCTAAGGCCATTTCCCATTGTTATTCACAGAGCCAGTTACAATGTTCTGTTCCATTAAATTCATATATAAACTTAAAGTGTAAGATGCATATGTCATCATAGACACTCGTTCTTTAGAATCTGTGCCATATTTCACATTCCCCCAAGATTTAGCAATTTCCTCATAAGTTTACTAGAGCACAAAATATTTGCATCTGTGTTTTCCCTTATTTTTACATTACAATTTAGGTCCCGTCATGTTCTACTTGGCTCCCTGAACCTGGTCTTCCTAAACCCAGGGCAGACCCACCACGGGTTGCAGCAGAAGACGCGTGCTGATTCTGGCTGCGGTGCACTAAACAGCTCCCAGGGATCCTGGCACCCCACCCCCACCCCATTCCACCCGAGCCTCCTTCTCTGCCAGTTTGGGACATGCCCAGCCATAGAGGAGAATGGCAGCAGCTGTTCACATTGGTGAAGAGAAATGATATAAAGACAACTCAAGGACAGCTTTATGCCTCCCAAAGTGTAGGAGAATATCTGCTGCCCCATCGGTTTGTTGTTGTTATTTCGTTAATAGCCTTATACTTTTAGAGCACTTTCAGATTTATAGGAAAATGAGTGGAAAGTATGGAGAGTTCCCATGTATCCCCTCATCCCCACTCCATTATTAGCATCATTATTAGTGTGGTACATTTGTTATAACTATTGATGAGCCAGTATTGATACATTATTATTAATTAAAGTCCACAGCTCCCATTAGGGTTCATTTGTGCTGGTGTACATTCTCTGGGTTTGGACAAACGCATGATGACATGTCCCCACCGTGACAGTAGCATGCAGAGTAGGTTTGCTGCCTTACATATCCCCCACGCTCCACCCCTCCATGCCTCCCTCCCCCAGCCCAACACCTGGCAACCACGGGTCTTCTTACCATCTCCATAGCTTTTGCTTTTTCCAGAATGCCATATAGTGTAGTTGGAATCATACAGTAGGTAGCCTTTTCAGATGGCTGGCTGGTTTTTAAGACAGATTTCACCAACTCTCTGACCGAATCTGGAAGAACTGTCAGGCCTCCTCTGGGCAGCATGATCCATGCTTCTCAAACTTCAATGTGAGCATCAAATCACCAGGATTTCGGGAAAATGCAGGTTCTAATTTGGTAGATCTGGGGTGGGGCCTGGGACTCTGCATTTCTAATGTACTCCCAGCAGGTCTGGGTGCTTCCAGCCAGGGACCACAGCCAAAGGGCGGCATCTAGACTATGAAATGCTGGGGGTGTGACTAGGCCTCCTGGAGTTCAAATAACAGTCCCACAAGGAAGAACCAGCTGCCTCTGACACGTGGATCAGCAGCTTGGTGGCGGCCCAGAGAAACACCATCCGTGTGGGGCACCTGCTGTAGGTAACACTGACAACTCAGTAACTCCCGCGTGCAGACCTCGGAGCAGGGCTGGCCCTCCTGTCTTCTGCTTTAAAACACCACTCTCCTCAGGCATGGGGTTTTGATAAAACAGGGAACAGAGGCGGGATTTTTGTTTTGAAAAGGGATTTGAAGGAGAAAACACTTCCGTTAGTCACATGTCATCTTTTTCAGAAAGTCTGCCATTTCCAGCCTTTCTTCTGAAGTGGTTCCCTTGGTTTACAGATTATTAAATGCTCAGTTTTCTACAAGGCAGCCTATAGCCTCCTTTGCCCATAGAGATCTTACAGACGTATTTAGCAGTGAAGTTCTGGAAGGTTCCACAATAGCAAAAAGGGGCAGGGCACATTCTGACTGTAATTATTGTCTGTCTATTATCTATTTACATCATTTATCTATATGTCAGTGTGGGTGAAACAAAACCTTCACAGCCCAGGATACTTTCTTTGGTAATAATTTGTAATTATAAAAATAACATCAACATAAATGTTAAAAAAATTAAATTATAGGGCCGGCCCGGTGGCACACTGGAGAGTGCGCCGCTTGGGAGTGCGGCCGGCGCTCCCGCCGAGGGTTCGGATCCCATGTGGAAACTGGTTCCCGTTCACTGGCTGAGCGCGGTGCAGGCGCAACACCGAGGGTTGCGATCCCATTACCAGTCAGTAAAAAAGACAAAAAGGAAAAAAAAATTAAATTATAGAAAGGTCTAAAATAAAAAGTAAAAGTCATCCTGTAACCCTCTTCCCCTCTCGCTGGCTTTGAATCTTCACTTGGGGAGTGTTGGGAAAACATAGGAAAATGGTCCGGGCCCCTCGGATGTTCAGAATCTTGCCGAGCATTTGATGTCAACAGGCACGTGCACTCAGGCGTTCCTTGGTTATCATCTAGTGTAAGTGCGCAGGTGCACCCAGGTGTCCCGGGTTATGGACTTAAGTATAAGGCTGAGTGGCTCTGATCCACAGCGCCTCCCAGCCTCGGGATGCCTCCTCTGTGGGGGGTCATGGGGAGGCCACTACTGCTGCTGCTAGTGCCCCAGGACCTTCTGCAAGGCCACCGCCAGTGCCAGACCTGTAAGCTGCTACTGCTGAGGAAGCCGAGGACTCAGCTCATGTCGTCTGCCAACGGCTCCTAGAATCTTTCCCAATTTCCTAGCAAGGACCTGCGTGTGAGGGGTCTGGGGACCCAGTCTGTACAATGGGTTTGAAGGGTCTGAACCCTAGCTCTGACAACATAGGTGGAAACTCAGTATAACTAAAATAATGAAGTATTTTGGCTTTAGTTATGATTTGCCTTATCTTGCAGGGAGACAGTTGGAGGGAAAGGATTTTCTACTCCCAGATTTTGCTCCCCTGGGGAACACCTCTCTTGGATGGAGCTGTCTCTTCCTCCTTTCATGGATGCTTAGATTTTTTTTTTCAAACTGCCCTCACTGTTTATCGTAATCTGATTTCATCTGTTTAAAATCATTTAGAGGACTGGGGACAGAAGGAGCTCTCACAGTGGGGTTTGTCCCAGCCAGGGCTCCCAGGAATGGTCTTGTAGGGGGCTGTGTGGTCATCTGTCCAGCCACCCAGACCCTTCTGTTCTGAGATAAAGTTCTGTTTTTCTTGCAGTCAGATAACAGGGTGAGCATGGAGTGGGCTCTTACACCAGAGGCATTGTTCTGGGGTCTCAGAAATGTCCACATTCACTGACAGTGTTTTAGCTCAGTTTGCAAATATCCAGTTTCGGTTGACTTTCCTGTTTGTCTCCATCAGTGTGCAGTGTTAGGAGGACTGTGAATACACTGAATTCTCAACCCAGGCATTGAGCTAAGACAGCCCGAGGGGTCCAGCTGGGGGCTTTGTTCCTTTCCGTTGCCTGCAGGCTGGTCACGTACATACACCTCCCGGTTTCCTAAAGGGCTTGACAATGGAACTCCATGAGGGGAGATGGCAAAAGCAAATGAAAGTTTCATCAGAATGGGCCCACATTTTCAGCAGCAGGTTTGTCACTAATGAGAATGGCAGGGAAACGATGACATTTTGCTAATCACGTTCTGGAGAGGTCTGGTTTTGGATGTGTGGGTGGCTAGCTTATATTAATATTTCATGTACCTATTGTACCAAACCACCCAGCCATGCTTCTGACAAGCTTCATAATAGCTAAGGGTTTCACTAGAGTCTTATGAAAAAGAATGCCTAAAGAAGTAACAATTATTTTCTAATTATAAAATGCTCTCTTTTCTAAATGTACGCACTGTTTTGTGTTTGTGTTGGGAGGAGCCTGCCGAGGGCCCGGGTCTGGCTCATTCTCTTTGTGTGTTCTGTTCTGCTGGACCACGTGTACCGAATGAGCAGAACAGCATTTCTCCCCCATTTAGATCAACAGATGCCACTTGAGCTTAACTAGCTTAAAAAAAAAATGTCTCCAAGCACAGGATATATTTTCCAACTCTTTGCTGTAGGGAGCTTTGAGAGCCTGCTTCTCCCAAGACTATTTTGTAAAAGCTGAGAGGAAAGATGGAGACAATGTCACCTGTGTGATCACGTGAGCACAGCCTTCAGTGTTATGATGCAACAAACAAATATTTACAAGCACTAATTGCACCAATAGATCAATAATTTTTCCAATTCTTTTCTTCCTGAGAGACCCAAATGGTCCCAGATAGAAATAATCTCAGAGACTTTTTTCAAAAGTCACATTTTTTTTTTATCACATATGATCAAGAAGAGCCAGTGTGCCAGCTTCTGTTTAGGGCCCAGAAGTATCAGAAGCAAGTCTGTTGAGATACGTCTCTCCCTCTCTGTCCCGTCATTTCCTCTTTCTCTGCATCCATGTGTAAGGTAGTGGCTTGCTGCTTTCCAGTGATAAGTTTCACCCACAGGGCCTTCTGTGACGTCTGTATTATTTTTCCAGAGCTCTCATCAAGTACCACAAGTGTTGCGTGGCTTAAACAACATAAATTTGTTGCCTCACAATTCTGGAGCCTTGAGGTCAAGTTTAAGGTGTCGGCAGGACCGTGTTCCCTCTGAATTTGCTAGGGAAACATCCATTCCAGACTCTCCCCAGGCTTCTGGTAGTTCCTTGGCCTGTGGCAGTGTCACTCCTATGCTCTCCCTGTGTGCATGTCTGTATCCAAATTTCCTCTTTTTTTAAGGACTCCGGTCATATTGGATTAAAGCCCATCCTAATGACCTCATTTTAACTTGGGAGAGAGCTTCTCTTCAAATAATATCATATACTGAGTTACTGGGGTTAGGACTTCAACATAGTAGTTTTTGGGGGAGACAATTTACCCCATAAAAGTGTCCTTACCTTTCACTTCCACATCTACTACCAGGCAGTTTTTCAGGCTAGAAGTCCAGGACAGAAGAAACAAAATGGTATGTGAACTGCCCCTTCAGTGCCACCTCCTTCCTGGCATTGTGATGGGAACCCAGCCTGTAGAAATGTTCCCTGGTTCTCCTAGAGCCAGAAGACCATCCTCAGGGAACAATAAGCAAATCTGCCTGAGAACAGAGGAGGTATTGCACTGAGTAAGAAATAAGGGGCAGTCTAGGGCATGCTTCAGGCAGAATCCTTGCTGATTTGTCCGGGATATAGGCTTGGTTTTGGGGCTTCATGAGGTGCTGAGGCTTAGCCATGGGCATGGGCTGCATAGCTGGAACTTGGAGAGTGGAGTGCTTGCCCAGGC